AGTCACTTGCTAGAAATTCCAGGGACTGTCAACCTTCTGTGCCAGAGGCAGTGCAGCAACACTTACAAGCCACTCGAGGAAAACTGGACTGTCCATCTCAAGCCCAGCCAGGGATAAAGGCTATAGACCAACAAAACCACACAGTGAAGAACTCAGGTTACGGTTCACACAACTCCTCTTAATTTTAACTTTTTAGTCTTTTTAAAAACAGAAAATGCCATGCACAAAAATAGAAAACGGACTCTTATGAATACGTTACAAGAGCCCAAGGTGCCTAGCGGTAACAATTATCCGGAACTCAACCCCAGATGTCTTCTCAGTTTGTACAGAGCTCAAGGGGTTCACAGCTTGAGGTGCTCTATTCAAGAAGCGGCCATGGTTGTCATTAGGTAGTTTTGTTTACTTGTAGCAAGTGAAGGAGATGGGATTCACATCCAAAGCTCTGTCTCCCAGAAGGGAGGCTCAGTCATTGCTTATAGACACTATTTGGTCAATCATGCATTGATTTCTTCTTTGTGGTTGGCTAGTTTGTTGGGTTGGGTTCCCATCAAACTCATCCAGTTCACAGCTGATTTCTCTTATATAATTTGATGGGAATCAGAACTGAGAAGTGCAACCAAAATGTAATACTGGTGACTGTGTTTTGCCAGTTGGGGAACTGGAATTTGGAGAATTAGGAATTATCTGGGGAATTGGTAATGAAAGAATTCATCTTTGGAGACTTGACTGAGACCCAGCAGGTGTAGTGGCCAGAGTGTTCTCAGCCAGTCTGGGCTCAGCTAGCTTCCTGAACCTCATGGAGACAGGCCTGGGCTCCTATAGGCTCTCATGGGCTCCCCTGGTGTTCCAGACATGAGGCAAAAGAGAAGTCCAACCTGGCCCTGCTCCTCAGGACTCAATGTTGGTGGACACAGAAATAGGCATTTGCATGGTGCCGTGGGAGCACCAGCTGCACAGGGGTGGGGGGAGCATGGAAGGGGCTGTGCCGAAGAGGTGGCGCCATCATGAACCTGACAGTATGTGAACTCGGTGTTATCCAGTAGAGTCATTCCTGCATTGATTTAGGTGTTCAGTAGAAGAGATTTGGTCATAGCCCCATGGACAATCACACAGATGCACACAGGAAAGCGACTGATTAGTATAACTGTGAAAAGAAGTATAGGGGCTGTGAGAATATGTCAGGGTTAGCCACATTCTGAGTGTGTGGTGTGTTTGTGTTGGGGGGTCAGGGAAGCGGAAACCTGGAGGGTGAAAGAGCAGGAGCCTCCTGGATAGGGTAGTTTATGGGCAAGGATGGAGGGCGTTCCAGGCAGGAAACAAGCAGCATGTGCACGGGCCCTGAGGCGAGCAGGAGCCCGGTGATAAGGGAAATGAAAAAAAGTCCTTGTGGCTGAGGCAGAGAGAGAGGAGGGTCCTGAGAGCACGCTTTTGTTTGCAACAGAAAACCTGACACACACGGGCTCAAATGGTGAGGAAACTGCATCCTCTCACCTCGCATGTGGCAGCTGCAGGATTGACTTAGGGACTAACTAAAGGAGACCGGGATTAATCCTGCTGTGGTGTGAATGAAAAAGGGGCCACGTACTCAACCTGAGAAGCTCAAGGGAGGCGTGCATGGTGGGCTTACAAAGTCAGAGGCCAAAAGTAACCGCATAGGATGGTCTGAACATAAAAATTTCTAACTAGAAGTGGGCCATTAGTGGGTGGTCATGTCCTGGGCCTGTAGCTTCCTTGACAACGCTCAATCTTTACCTTAGCAGAGCCTGTTGTCTTTTAAGTTTTTTTTATTTTTATTTTTTTTAGAGAGAGGGAGAAACATCTATTTGTTGTTGGCCAGAGCCTCTAGTGTCTTTTTGCATCTAAGATAACGTACCTTTGAAATGTCAAAGTAATCTTTTCCAGATGCTGTGCCCCCTCTGTGCACAACCGTGGGCACCGGACCAGGTGATAAGCCCTCGTTGTTAGCTTGTTCCTCGCATACCATATCAAGTGCCGTAAATTTTAATTATTCACTATCCTGTACCCACCAAGGTAAAAGATGTGTTTCTCCATCTTGCCTTTTATCCAACTCAGAGATTTCCCAGCTTTGCTTTCTCCCACTTCCCTAATCTACCACCAAGGGATTTCATGTATCACTACTTACATTGCCTCCTTCTATTCTAATGTATAAAATAAACTACAGAACTTCCATTCTCCAGAGCGTCTTCTCAATCCATTTAGATTTTGCTTCCTGGCAATTGTCATCAGTTTGGCTCAAATTCATAAAAATTGTCTACAGGTCTGAACATTTCTTATGTCAACAGTATGAACTACAAACTGTATTGAACAAACCGACTTCTTTCCTTTTAGCACTACCTCCATGATGGGGTGGCCTGGAGCAGGCTCTTGACTTTGGCTCCAGTGTCGCTTTCCGATTTGTCTCCCACCACTCCCTCACATATCTTGCTGTCTGGCCACCATCATGTTTCCTAACAGACTGCCCTTTCACCTCCTATGCCTGGAATAAGCACAAAAAATAAATAAATAAATAAAGGAGACCGGGGCCGGGTTTGTTCTTTATTTCTGCTCCACCCTAATCAGCCAGTCAGCTTTTCCTGAGGCTTGTTCCTCCTGTGGTTACAACTGGCTGCCAGTTTCTTTTGTTTTTAAATACTGAACATCTTTGTTGATTTCAGAGTTAGGAAGGGAGAGGGAAAGAGAGAGGGGGAGAGAGAGGGAAAGAGAGAAACATCCATGATGAGAGTCCTGGATCGGCTGCCTCCTGCACGCCCCCTGCTGGGGATCCAGCCAGCAACCCGGGCACCTGCCCTGAGGGGATGAACCGTTGTTTCCCCGGTTCATAGGTCATGCTCAACTGCTGAGCCAGCCAGCGGGCCGCTGCCACAGTTTTGAGCATCATTTCCAGCCACAAAAATGTACAGTGGAGCCCTGGCCAGTGTGGCTCAGTTGGTGCTGAGCGTCCTCAGTGCACTGAAGGGCTGCAGGGTGGATTCCCAGTCAAGGCACATACCCAGGTTGCAGGTTCCATCCCGGGTTGGACTGCTTCTTTCTGCCTTTTTTGTTTTTGAGGAGGAAACGCCTTTCCTAGAAGCTCCCTGGCCCCCACGAGAACAGAATGAAGACAGATTGTTGGGCCCACTGGATTTCTGCAGGAGCACTCAGGAGCCATGCACACCAGAAAAGGCCTGAGCGCCCTGCCAGTCCAGCCCCCGCCTCCAGTGTGGGCCCAGGCGCTCCCCCACCTGGCACCCGCTCCTGGAGATGCTGGAAGCAGCCCCGAGGCTGCCCCGGCTGTCTCCTGAGGGACCTTCCCTTCGGCCGCAGCGAGCAGCCTGGGCCTATTTTGCAGACTAGAGGAGCCTTCTTTTGGGGACGGCACCGAGGAATCAAGCGCATAAGTGGGCTCGGCCCTCGGGGGAGGGCGGGAGGCGCTGAGTGAGGAGAAAACTGCTGGGCACCTGGGAGAGACCTCAGGCTGGACGAGGAAAGGGGCACCTGGGCAGAGCAGACCCACACGGCGTGGGGGGGCAGGGGCTCGCGGGGGGCTA